CACAGAGAGAGAGAGAGAAAGAGAGAAAGAGAGAGAGAGAGAGAGAGAGAGAGAGAGTGTGTGTGCCAGGGCTGGCCATGTGAATGTCCAGAGCCTTAATCACTACACTACACTAACTGTTGGCCCCTCTTTTCCTTTCTAAAAGTATTTATTTATTTATTTTTATTCATTATCATTATGTTTTAAAAATTTGCTACAGGGCAAGTGTGCTCACAAGAGAGAGACAGACGTGTGTGCACGCGCGCACACACACAGACAGAGAGAGAGAGAGAAAATGAAAAAGTAAGCTGCCAGGTCTGGTACTTGAACCATAGTCGGCCATGTCTGAGTTCAGCAACATAACCACCTGCTGGCTCAGATACTTTTTTTTTTCATTAGTTACTAAAGAAGCCAACTGGGCCTTGAATTTTCCCTGTGCAAAAACTTAAATTACTGTCTTTAAAATATATATAGAAGTATTCAGGTTGTCTTCTGTGTCAGTATTAGAACGTATTTATGTATGTATTTATTTTTATTTCAATGGTTCCATTCCATCTATTCCATTTTTAAATTTATTCATATAAAGTTATTCATAAAATACTTGTCTGAAGGGAAAAAAGTCTGTAGGATTTATAATAATGCCCTCCTTTTATTTCTAACATTATTTACCACACTCCAAGTTCATCTTATCAGGAGTTATTATTTTCAAAGACCCATTCTGTGGCTCTTTTAATCCTTTCTATTTCCTTCTTCTAGATCATTAATTTTTGCATTTATTTATATTCCTTCCTTTTTTCCATCTTTCTTAAGTTTAATGAGTAGTTCTTTGTGTTATTTTCTTTTTAGTTTTTTGCCATAGGAGTGTGTGCCCACCAGAGAGGGACAGAGCGAAAGAAAAAGTGAAAAATAATCTCCCAAAAAGGATGGCAACACCACAATCCCTTCTCCTCCAGTCTCCTCTCAGAATTTTGGGCACATGTGCCCAGCATGAATTTCAAGCCACCTGGTCTAGGAATTGAACCATGGAGTTGGCTCTGTGGGATCCAACCGCCTTACCCTCCACACCACCTGTTGGCTCTAGTAGCTTTTTTTCTGAAAAGGGATGTCTTTTTCTTTTTTGAATATATGATTTTAAAACAAAGTTTATTTATAGGAGAGAGACCAAAGTGAGCAAGAGAGACTGAGGCAGTACCTCAATAGGGTCTTGACATGTAATCCACCTCTCCCATTCAGTCAGCCCTGGATTACAGACAAATGCATGCCCAATGTACTAAGGGAAGCCTCTGGACTTGAACCCGGAACCTTTCTATGTAGGACTGTCTTGCAGAGCATCACATTTTACTACTGTGCCACCATCTAGTCCCCTGAATATATGCTTTTAAAGTGATTCTCAACCCTAGCTGCACTCTGGAATCTCTTGGGCAACTTTCAAATGCTTGGGTCCCACCCTCAGAGATTCTAATGCAGTTGGTCTGAAGTGTAGCTGGAATATTAAAAGTTCCTCAAATGGTCCAGCCATCGTGGTGATAGGGGACGGGATACCATGCATGATGCTAGAGCCACACGGGAGGCTCAGGTTCAGATCCTGGATTGACCTAAACACTCTGAGTGTGTCTGCATAAGCTGAGATTTTGCCCAGCTATAAAGCAGGGAGGAAGTGGTGAGGCAAGATCCTGTCAAGGGTACCTGCATTCCTCTCAATAAATAATTAGCATAACAATAACCTATAATCCTCAGACCAACTAAGAAACACATTAAAAAAAAAAAAAGAAAGCTCCTCAAGTGATTCAAGATGCAGCTAAAGTTGAGAACCACAGATGTAAAGCTGTACCTCTAAGTATAACCTTAAATGTACCCCACAACTTTTTGATATTTTACTCATCATTCAGCTCAAGTTCAAGTTGTTTTAAATTTTCTATTGTGATTTAATTTATGTAATGTTTTAAAACAGGAAAATGCAATTTATGGTTTGAAAAGTCAGTTAAATGGTATCTCTGAGGAAGAGGCAGGGCCTGTGGCTGAGGGAAGCACAAGAGGAATGGCCAGTGTTGGTAATTATGATGTCTCTTGTTTCAGGTGGTAGTTACACAAGGGTCTTCAATTTGTGCTAATTCAAGGATAATTCTAGGATATGTAAATGTTTCTGTAACTTTATATTACATTTCAATATATTTAAAAAAAAAAAAAACAGATAATAGAGGGACCAGCAGTTAGCGTAATGGCTATGTCACTGAACTCCTATGTAGTCGACTGCGGTTCGACTCCCGGACCTGGTGGCTTAAACTCACGCCAGGCGCGTGTGTGTGCGTGCCCAAGATCCCAAGGAGAATGGAGGAGAAGGGATTGCGGCATGGCCATCCCCCCGGGGATTGATTTCTCGCTTTCTGTCTCTCTGTCTCTCTCTTTCTGGAGAGTGCACATGTCCTATAGCAAAAACTTC